TACATCATGACTTTTTGCATGTGAACTAGCACTAAGACCCGTAAATATAAGAATAGCATTATTTTTTTTTGCATTTAATTTACCCCATGTTTCATAAGCAAGTTGAAATTCATTTAAGGATTTATTATTATATTTCAATCGAAAAGGTTCATTTTGATGTTTATAAATTTGATAACCGGATACAACATGATGATAAGCTGATTCAGGTTCGTCCAAAGAATGTTTCCTGAAAAGAATTTAATGCATATTTTTAGAAAAATATTAATCATACGTACTGTCGAATGGAAATAAAAAGACGAACATTTGAAGTTGAAAAGCGGAGAAATTTCGAAAAAAAATGCATCGATCTATTATGTTTCGAATAATATTTTGTCCTTTTTCTTCTGTGTTACTGTAACCTTCATAGACACCAATAGATACTTTCGTTTCAATCCTGCATTATACACTCTATGCGTAATTACATAACAGCAAACCTTGAACGTAATTGTGACGAAATATTTTGTACCACACTTACAGGATATGAACATTGAATTAATAAATAATTTTCTATTATATTACCAATACAATTGTTTATTTCGATCAGCTAATTCAAATCATCGTATAGACATATGATTCGATTGATTGTTTAATTGTGTACGATGAACTGTCTTGATAAATGAAATGCATAAGCTCAGTTGCTAGACGAAAGCAATACTCATAATTTCTTTTTATTAGCTGTTCTTTTAATTATATTGTAAATAAAAAACAAACAGATTTCACAGTAAAATTTGACATTTTTATAAAGTATTTTCCATGACAAATAAATTTTTTTTGTTTTGGAAAAAAATTGAATAATTTTAATCACAATTCAAAAGCAAAAAATTTGATTTTATGATGAAAATCAATTTTGTCTAAGTGCTTTATTTTGAAGATTTGTTTTGTGACACAAAATAAGACCTTTTCATATGTATGTCGACAAAGGACGAAAGAAAAATAAATATGCTTTCATTTTTCAGTTTTATGATCAATTTGACACAATTATACAACTGAGAAAATTATTTTTGTTTTTCGTTCAAAATCTTTCTTCAACTTCTCTTAGTATCATTAATGATGAAGTTTTAAATAAGACTCAAATTTTTATCATAAAAATTCAAGAAAAACTAATTTACACAAATAAGTAGAATTATTTGATATATATGAATTTTCGAATACCTTTTAGTATTTGATTTTAATAAATCTAATTAAATATCACATATTTCTACATCACAACATATGCTGCAGTTCAGTTACGATGCATTTTACAATTCGACTAATACTAGTTTTATAAACTTCTATGTTCTTTTATCGCCAATATAGTTTTGAAAATATTGTCTCAACATAAATATTCGAATAGAAAAGTAAATACGACTATTTTGACTAGATGGCATCCGAGTTTCACTCAATTGCGAAATGTGTAGCGAAGCTTGGAATATCGACTACTGACAAAAATTGCTAATCGTTTTAACAATTTATCATAAAATATTTTTCTCCGAAATGTATTTACGTTTTACCGAAATCAAGTTTTTTTTTGTCGTTGTAAATCGAAAAAAGATACGCAGGGTGTGAGTGGGGTGGGTATAGGTGGGTGTGGATGTGGATAACCTAAATCGTTACACCCACACCCTC